GGTGGTATGAGGGCTGAATTATAAATTATATGAGTAAAGTATACAGTTTTGAGTAGACCAGGGAAAAATTAGTTGACCAAAAGCAGAAAATGTAACAGTTATGATTATGAATCCCATATATGATATATGTCAGTCAATATATGAAGTAGATGACAAGACAATGAAAGAGCTTTAGCATCTGAGCAAAGTTTAGACAGGTTTATGCAATATCAATAACAGGACGATGGTGTGTGCAACCCTCGATGATCAGGCCATGGGTGAAAAAATAATATGAATCGTTTTCAAGGAGACTTTGTCTTCTCTTATCTCCCCTCCCCCAGTCATGCTCCAGTGATTTTGGCTCATTGAAGGCTTCTGAGAGAGGTATTATTAAGAATCTAATGACATGGGCATGACTAGAAAAATCATTCAAATCATTTTCAAGTCAATTTTTTCTCCTGTAACGCCCTAATGATTTTAGGTCATATCTCGAGAACAGAAATAGGTAGATGCCATATTTGGGTAATATAAGGCAATTGTGTATGACAAAAAATTGTCGTCGTGTTTGAGTGATCACGGACCTAAAACTGATAAAGTTCGATTTCCATTAGAAGTGTTCGGTTTATGACGTGGTATTTAAACTACTTAATGAACTAAAGCGGACGGGCGCAACGACCCGGGTGCATCTATCGAACTCTTTTACTTTTACCGCTTTTTTAATTTACTAAAATCTATTCTTTAGTTTTACCTCGCGGGTAGCGTAGCGACAGTCGCTAGATGTAAATATATTTTGACACTTTTTACAAGACTTTGAAGATTGTTCATTTTTCCCACCTATGGTTCAATTTAAGAAATCATAATGGAAGGTCCCGTTTCCCGACTTAGTCAAAATTAGTTGATTGATATCATTTCACGAGCTAAAATTTTAATAAGCTTTTCTATTTTGAACTCAGCTAATTAGCTTCTTCTCATGCGTTACGAATCAGCGCATAAATTTCAACGCATGGCGAACTGCAGCAAATCAAATACATCAATATCAAGTTATATGTATATATGAATAATATTTTAACTTAAACTCGCAAACAGTTGTCGAAATGCAAAACTAATTTTTGCACATCAAAATTTGTGCGAACAGTTTCTTTAAGCTATTTATCCATAGTCGCGCATACATAGATCATAATACATTCTAACATATAGAGGGGACAAGGCAAAGAAAAATTAAGACACTGATGTATTCGTTTGGTTATCTTGAATTTTGACAAAAAGGAAAGCAACAACAATAAAAACAATATGAAGACCACCAAAAACAGCAATTGAGCAAAACGATCTATTGATCCAGATCGTACCCATTAAATACACAAACAATAAATATTTATGAGTAGGAAGAATTGCGAGAGACACGCACGTCACCGAATCAGCGACAAGAGAAAGATAAGTAAAATCATACCAGACAAAACGTTATTGCGTATATTCTATTCTTAGACGATTTCATCAGTTCATTAACTCAATATTAGTTAGGCAATAATTTCAGGTACAAATACTACGGGAATCACTTGGCTAGTCCTCGAACTCGTAGCAGAACTAAACGAAGAGAAACTGAAATAAACTTATGGCCTAACCCTAACCTGGTAAACATACTACGTTCCGGTGTCCGCCATCTTGGTTCACATACTACGGGAGCGCCTGAAAATATGGTGGGTGACTTTGTGACCCGCGCGTCAGTGGTCAACGTGTTTACGAATTATACGAAACGAATATCTGTGATCAAAATGCGGAGGAATACTAATTTTCTGAAAATCATTTGTTCTTTTTATCAATCGAATCCAAATGACAATACTGAAAAAACGTATCGATAGGAAAGGTTTTTCTTCGATGTAGTTGCATGTACAAATGCATCTATGATGCCAAGCCCAATTCATCTTACTTTTTTCAATCAAGACAAGAGAATAAAATCATGTATTTATTTATCTTGTATACACATATTATTACTAATAAAATCTAACATTTACTATCTGTATTTCGTTTCGTTTTGCTGATGAAAATTGTTGTTTAATACGTGAATATTACATAAATATAATCGTTATGTATATGAAATAAGGATACGAAATTACGGTTTGAACTGTAACCATTTAATAAATGATTTTCTAAAAATAGCAAAATGTAATGTTAAGAATGTAATCGTAAATTCCCATAGCATATATAAGAAGAATGCTTGTATTAGTCAAATAACGTTGGAAGACTAGACGGAAATGCAATAAAATAAACTTTCAATTTCGGGCAAATAAGAAAATTTGTGGGGTAGCATTCAAATATGATCTCTTAAAAAGACTTTTTGTATCTTTGATGAACGGTATAAAATTCTCATATATACGACAGAAGATGGGGCCGTCAAAAAGAAGATCGTCGTGGTGTCGCTGAGATGGAAAATTTTGTCAAAAAATTTGGTAATTAAAGGACATAAAATTGTACCGAAGGCTTCAAGTATTTTCACTTTGTCACCGATATATAAATGGTAAATCGAGTTTTATCTTATCATATTCAACAAGTGATACCGATAAGTGATAACGAACACAAAACCTTTAAGATACGAAATGAATCTTGTTTATTTAATGCCTTTTTGCTGCATTATGTTCAGTTTCTTGAGGTTAAGCACGGGGAGCAGAAATGATCTTAATTTGCAAATTTATTGCAGGCACATTGTTGAAGTAAAAAGACAAATTGAAATAATACACCAGAGGGTGAGAACGGTAAGAAGACCAAAAGTAATAGATCTGAATAGAAGTAATATAACTTATATTTTCAACATACATACACAAGTTGCAATACCTATCAAGCTATGGTCGATATTTTTGCCATACAATTATTTATTATATGTAAACTAAATAGAATGATTAAAAATCGTTCGGAGTTTGATTGACATACTGTTTTGTTTATACACATTTTTTTTACTTTAATAGGATACAGCGAATATTCATCAAGATTTTACGAAATACTGGAATTTGGATTCAAAATTAATCTCAACCTTGAAACTTAGTGAAAAAGAATCCGACGACCTGACAATATACAAGATGATAACGGTGTCAACAAAGATTAGTAGTACAAAGGTAGGTGAACATTATGTATTTTTCAAACAGTGGTGACAATATGTATTTGATAACAAAGTTTTCGATGTTACTGATAGAAGTGTGAAATATATACTTTTATTCAGAAATCATCAACTCAGTGTTTAAAAAGACGCGATGGAAACATCATATTACTTTTGAAAAGTATATTGCTTCCAAAGGACTTTTCCCCTCACGATATGGTAAGTATTTTATTTCCTACTCCATCTCATCAGTAATTTACGTTGCCTGGAGAAATTCATGCTTTGTAGGCTTTGTCACATTTTATAGAATGTCAACTACTATTTTGAATATGTGAAAACTTCAATATTATGGCAAAACATTTAAAACGCGAAATTGGGATATACCGGTCAATACACATTTGTGATTGACTGAGTAAATGATACCGGCGTTAAAATTTTATCACCACTGCAGCATGACATAATATAACTTTTCGAGAGTTACCCGTTTCATTGGTATTCTTTTTTATAGAAGTCTGCAAAAGTAACTCATGAACTATTCAAAACGCCGACAAAGCTGGTGAAAAAATTTTTCCATAACAAATTAAGGAAAGTGGATAAAGCTTCGAGAAAAACAGGCAGAAAATTTATAACGGAGTTTAAAACAATTCCGGAAAACTTAACATTCATTTGCGAAGATTTCATAATATCGGTGTTGAGAACTCTTCATGATAGCGTATCTTCATGTGAAGTGCTGATGCATCCATTTCAGATTATTCCAAGGATATAAATGCAAGACATGTCCATTATTCTTGCTTTGAAACGATCACAATTCAAAGAGTTCGAACGTCCTACAGTGTTGTTCAGTAAATTGAAGACATGATAAAATCTACATGGTACTTCATTTGTTATTTAGTTAACACTTCAATTAAACTATTTGACATTGTTTGCTATTAGTTCTATATTAACAAAGTATTCAATCTTTATTTATTACTATTATTATTTATTAATTTTAATTTGTTCTTTTGTGATTTATTTTTCAACGTGCAGTGCTCTGTATTATTAATAAAAATGAACATTTTGCATAAAGAATATGCATGGTGCTATAATTTGTTTAAAAGGCTGTGGTCATATAAATTGAAAGGTAACACAAGATAAAGCCAACTTTGATCTTATCGACTTTGTTGAAATTTGCCAAGTACTTATTTGTAAAAGATTTTCTAATTTAAACAAATATTTGCTGGGTATTTTAGTGAAATAGTGAATAAACATTCAACATAAAATCGATGAAATACAATAAAAAGCAACTTAGCTGATAAATCGAAAATTGATTTTTTATTTTTCCCGCCCGAAACCGACGTGACGTATCATCTCAAATAAATGAAACTACGATTCTACCCAAAGTAAATAAAATACAAAATATATCTTAATCGGGTTCATTGACCCGATCGATTTTCCCGTGTCACGTGACAAAAATACAAATTCATATAATTCATTGTGTAACTAGGTAATATTTGCATATCATAGAAAATAACTATACTAGATAAAAGTTAAAATATATACAATTCTACAAATACCGGTATATTTGCCTCATTAGTGCCAAGAATCTCTTTCTAAATACAATTGCTAGGCCTAAGTACGTACCAAAGATATTGTTGAAATCTTCATTTGTCGTCGACCACGTGTGATTCTATAAAAGGGCGATGACGCAAATGTTGTTAAGCGTACGGGTAAACGTCGCGCTCAAACAAAAAGCGGAAAAAGGTCGTCATTTTTTTTTGGACTGCGCTATCAATATCTCTATTTTGTACCGATACTGTCCCTAGTCCCGTGTGTAACTTGTATCCCTAAATTTATTCAAATCATTCTTAATAGAAAATTCAATTCCATTTGTTTAGTTCAATTCATGTCTATCATCAAATTTTTAATATTTAGCAATTTACAAAACTTGAAGAAATACCTGTGTGAGTGCTTTTACACTCGAGTGTCCGTAGCATCAGAGTTGTTCCGTGTCCAAAATTATCCTCCCAAAGATCTTCTTGATCGTCGAGCCCGGCCGATACCTTGGGCGCTTTTGTGCCTTGGATAGAATGACGCGCTGATTCGTGAGGAGTTTCAATCTTGATTGATCTTGGTTTGGAGCGCGCTGAGATGTGAGGTGCGCCACTATACCCGAAATGCAGGGCTGCTTTTGATTTAGAAGCGATGTCCACGGAGTATGGCGGCTGGGCATCTTCGAGAGCTTTCTCGAATCCTTTACCACCAATAAGTCGAAACAACCTAGTAATATAACATCGGGTTTATAAACTACTTATTTGTTTTTTATAAAGCTATCGATACCCAGTAAAAATAATGGTCGTTGTTCAAAATCTTCATAAATATATCAATGAGAAGGGAATAATGAACACAACGAAATCAACAAATCGCCATATACTGCTGGTAGGCTACTCGTCCGAGGGCACAACTTAATATTTACAGTCAACTATATAGTCAAAAACGCAAAAAATGAAGGGCGCAAACTAGAACTTTTACCGCTACCATTTATTGATTCAGCGATGGAAAGATCGCTAAAATAATCCTAATCAAATAGGTATTGCTAACACAATATTCATTAAAATAAGCTATTACCTGCACCATAGTAAAGACAACGGAATGATGAATGAACTTGTGATAAACGTAATGTAAACAATCTGGATCATGGGTACAATGTAACGGCTGAAGTTCTTGAACATATCCATCATATCGAACTTTTCAATTGTGTTAACGGCTCCTGCAAACAGAATAGAAAAATTGCGCTCATCTCGTGTTATCAGCGTTTGACTATGTTTATCACAGTTTTCAGTAACCGCGTGAGTAAAGAAATTCATGTAAATGAACACGACAAATTGCGCGATGTTATAATATGGCCGGGGTCACACAGCACAGTCTCTACCATTTTTTTTTGCAAATATGTAAAATATTAACTTGAATCGCATACCGGGGGTGTTATCCGACAATGACTTTAACATCGGTGTGATTGCAGTTACACTAAGAAATTTCTCAATTCCTGAAAAACAATAAGAATAGAATAAGATGGGCCTTGGATTAATACGTTGGTAAAAACGTCTTTCAGATTAAGAAATTACATGAAAGCAACAACAGGACAATGGATGACATTGCTTAAATAAGAAAAAACCAAATTCCCAGTGAAGTTTAGTAACCAAAACTCGAGTAACTAATGCATGTTGTATAATATATATCGAATAACAAAGGTTGAAGAGATTGAAACTGAAATGTACTCGATTTCGTTGAGAATTTTTTTCCCCTCTTTGCTGGAAGTAATGCTTGGTGAAAATGGTGAGTATGTTTTAATGCTATTTCTTACCATATGCATACGAGCTGCTGACGACTACAAGAGTTGCAATCATATCTAAACACATAACCATTGTGTGATCAAGTTGGGAATATTCACTCCATGGTTCGTGCCATGATGAAGCTTGGGACAAAATGTAATGCAATGGTCGAAATCCAATCCATGCCTTTTTCTTCAATCTACAAAACAAAGAGTTCATTTAGTTAAATCTGACTTCGACACAAAACAAAACACGATAAAAATTGGTTCATGACTAAATTTATCATAGCAATGTATTAAAATACGGATTGTAATTTTTTGTATTATTTTGGTAAATTTCTATCAATATACACCGATTTGTGCAAATTCTCTGTTAAACGAGACTACCCTATAAGAATATATTCAATATCGCCAATAGAAGATTTTTTAAGAATGCCATAGTTCCTAATCAACTATTTGCTCAAGATGCTCAATTAATTCAAAGAAAAGTCATCTCAGATGACGATTTTCCTGACAACAATCTGGTTCCTTCCGAATTAAAAATACAAAATTACGTTACGGTCTCCTCCTGCAACGGCAATGATGTAGCGACATCTCGTGCTCTGACAGTAGAACTGTGTCCCGTTTCTGGCGCTGACACTCCAAGTACACCGACTCCTGTAAGAACGTATGAAACATAAATAGAGCGAATACCTCTTTTTGTTGAACGGTGGGTCTGTTGTTCTAAGTGTGATAATGAACGCTTGACTCCTAACCGTATCAAGATAGTTACGTGAGTTGCGGCATAACCTTTTTTTGGAACTGTTATTTAAGACAATGACTTTTTTTCGTAACACACAGTTTAGTGAAAACAGACTTTGGCGAGAATGATATTTGGTTGTGCAAGGGTGTACTCTCGAAAATGAAGTTACGCAAATATGGAATTTTAATGGGGAATCGGCGCTTGTTTAATTGTTTCTTAAAAAATTGCGAGAATGTAGTTTCAGCAGAATTTCTACTTGGTATGAGTACAGGTTTTAATTTCATTATATTTAATGACTGCTATGCGCTATTCCAAACCTGGCACCCTCCACCCGCGTTCTCACAAAAGTTAATTTTTTGTAAAATTACGCTCTTCCAAGCACCAATTTTTGCAAAAACCGTCTTCCGTTACGGTGAAAATGCTTGCACACATGATCATAATTAGTCAAGGCCATGTGCCAATAAAATATTAAATTTCTGTGATTAGTAAAAAAAATAGGAAAGCAATAAGTAACCTTTCGCCGTTGTCAAGGTTTCTACACTTGTCCAAGTTCGAACGTTTTTAGATAAAGCTTCGAATGGAGATTCCTGATTCTCTAGCATCATACGAGTTTTGCTGTTGGCCAGAGCATCAGCTTTCCTGCCCAATACAGAAGATGAAGGTAAATGTTTCATACTAGGGTTGGCTTTGTGTTAATGTCCAAATAATATTACTGAAATATTCAATTTTTCAGAGTTACTATTATGAGCTACTAATGAACACATCAGAATCTAAAAATTATGATCGGGTCAAATGAGCATCCAGGAAATATGTGTTTATATTACGACATTATGCAATGTCATTGAATCTGTTAACCCAGTGCGCAAAACAGGACAAGATTTCTCTATGGACAGATTTCTAAATAAGAATAGATATGCCTATATCTAGTGTTTGATTTTATATTACGCCCAATATAACATAGTTATGTGTGAAAGAACTTATTCAACTGTTAAAACTCACCTTGGAAGTTTCCTGATGAACAAATCTGAGAACGAAAATACAGACATTCCTTCATCAAAATCACTGTTGTCACCTGCTACATCAATTTCGACAACAGATCCAAGATCAAACGGAATAGAGACTCCTAGACTCAATGTTTTCTCTCGCCTATAAATGACAACATGATAAATTAAATTGTTTGTATCATGATTTGGATTATTAAAGTGGAGTTAAAATTGTAACAACTAATCGAAAGTTTTCGACCAACCGCCAGACTTTACTCAGTGATTGACTCGAATAATCCGTTCGTTACTCGACTCCACCCACGACTGTGTGTGGGGACTTAGACCCAACAATGAATTACGACAATCTGTTACATCTTTGTAACAATTTCTAGTCCTAAAGTAACTGAAGTGAACATTGATATTTGTTCAAAATGTATCTTTTCATTCAAGCTGTATCGTGATATATTAAACTAGTTAAATAATACCATAAAAGAGATTGTAATATTTATAAAAAAAAATCTAACTTAATGGAAGAGCATCATAACATCTCGATCGACATCAATCAACTTACGCTATGTAAAATCCATCGTAGTCTCTGAATAATACCAGTGGACTGTCCTTATTTGACCCGCGGAGTCGAAGTATCAAATCTGTTTGTCCACTGTAGACGTAAGAGTCATCGAATTTTAGAGTTACAATATAAATCGGATCTCTCGGTGGTATTTTTTCTTGAAAATATATGATATCCGTCTGAAAGAATAAAATGGTAAGTCAAAATTCAGAATCTCAGTTTAGAATTAGATGCATATTAATTTAACCTATTACCCAGAATCGTCTCATTTGACATTTAAGTGCTTAGTTTCAAAAAGGGCTCTTGACTTTTTAAGGGCTATCTTTTGCATCAAAAAAGATGCTTGGGATTCGGGAATGCGTCGCCCGGCTAGCTCAGTCGGTAGAACGTTGGACTCTTAATTTAACGTTGGGTGTACTTCGGTTTCTGCATATTATATATCTTGAGGATAACTCCCGTGACACAACTTAAGTCGATATAGAGATTTATGGGAGTAACTGCAACGCTGCTTACATGTTATTAACCAAGCATTTATTAGAACGTCCGGGTAATTGCACTTTCTACCCGGCCAATCCGTAATCTTTTGATAAGTTTCTAAAGCTTATTTTAAGTGTGGTTTCATGCTGTGGCAACAATACTATAAATACTGTTGAGTGGTGAAACAAATTTAAAAGACATGGAGAGATTTCAGAAGCTGTTGAAGTGTACTGGAACCGATCGGAATCAGAACTTATGAAAAAAATAATAAAATCAGACGAGACAATTTCGACGTGTGTGATGTGCATTGCGTGTTTGCACATATTGAATCTATATATATTTTGATTCCGATTGCGATTTGATTTTATTGAAATTTTAGAAGAGTTTACATTTAAAGGATATTAAAAAAATAAGTTGCTTTCTCGTACCGTCTATCATGAGTATGGGAATCAAACCATATACATTAAATATTATTGCGAAGGGGCCCAAAAACGTCGAAATACCCAATAGTGATGATGTAGCCTACATTCTCAAGCGTTTCATTACTACATAATTGTACACAGTCACGATTTTTACCTATCCGGTTTAGTGGTAGATAGCTCGAGCATTATCCAAATTTTCCATACAAACAGGAGGCTATTAGGTTGTCATTTAACCAGTTTACTGGCGTTAACTTACGGGTACAGCCACTCACCACCGCGTGTATTTCGTCCTTGTCGTTGTTGAATGCGAGAAAGCAGCAGATCATGAATACAATACACAGCAATGCGGCTATACATAGAATAGTAAAATCCCCAGATGGCAATTCCGCAACCATAATGTAGATAGCAGAAATGCGACGTGCAAGTAAACACAAACGCGGAAGCACCCTGAACTCCCCAACCAAGCCTGCGCGCTTATGCTATTACCAATTGTGACGACACTCATAATAAACTAAGACGGTCTGGAATATACTTACCAGAAATCTTGACGAAGTGCGATACAAAACACCGAATATCATATATAAGTAACCAGGAGATAAGAGAAACGTAAAAATTACAAATAAGACAGCAACATTCTCTAGAGCAGATAATATCTGGATAGCTTGTTTGAAATTTGACTATTCGCTAATTGGCTCAAATAAATTGGTGACGCTGAACATTGGTGACAAGCGAAATGAGAGGAATCAGGAATTCATATCATGCCATGTTTTGAAGTCTTTTGATTCTATGACGTAGCCATTGGGGATTTGAAGCCGGCCAAACAATAGTTTTGAATAGAGTAGAGTTTCTTTCTATATTTCAATTCAAACGTTTGATACAAGTCAAACCATCTGTGAGCTTCATGACCTGTGCAAGGTGGAGGACAAAATGTCTAAATCACTACCTATTCTTGATATCAAGATACTCCATAGTTGAGACTAACTATCGCGACGTGCACGGGAAAGAACGAAAATTTTGAATTATTGCTAATTTTTATTTGAAAGTGCCAATTATAACTTTGCATAGGTTTTGTCAGCAGTTAGAGATGGGGTCCTAAATGGAACAAGTTTTATGCATGCAACTTAAACTAAATTTAAATAACGAGTTTTCTAATGCGTATCATCGTAAATATATACTACTACGGGTATTATAATTGAGTATTTGCCCTAAATTAAAATATCACGAGACAAATAATCTCAGATATGCCTGGGACCTAAAATCTGTTGTTCCATAGACCCCAAAATCGTCCATTATTAAATACGAAATGTACTTCTGGATCGTTTTGTTATCAAGTTATTGCGAGGGCAAAGGTTGTAATTACAACAACAGCTTTTTATTAAGAAACACTTCGTAGTTAACAATTACAATTATTATATATACCAATAAAGCTGTTGTTTCCCAACCATTGATGGCGCCATCAGTAGAGACAAGCCAAGACGCTTGATCTTTTTCATCACAGCTCCCAACAGACCAATCAATGCCTTTAGTCGTACCCTTTTTATGGAAAATGGCTGCGTGCTCTGCGGTAATTTCAAAATCAGTATTTACTCCCCGCAAGAAGATCGCTGAGCAGTAACCTTGATGTCAGTTCTTTCATCAAGCGCCAAGAAATACGATGAAAATTTTTCCGCCTTTTCAATTAAAGTTTCTCAGGCCCTTCGACACGACGAGTAATGGTCTGTCCGGACAAGATATTTTTGGCAGACAGACAAACACCTCTTTTATTTCCGGACGTAATACATTAGCAACCCGAACAATACACAATAAACATTTCTCAACGAATTCTCAATCTGAAAATGGCTTCGATGGTTTTGTGATAACGTCATATAGAGTAGTAAGAGACCAAGTGTGCAAGCGGCTATGGCACCTTTATTTATCGATATCTCCTTCGAGTTGATTTCGATTTAAAATGACACTAATGGCTCATTTGAAAGGGCTGGTAGGGCGCATTTCAGGAAAATAAACAAATCGTTCGTATCACATCTTTGTATACTAACTACATCACCTGAAAAATAGTTTTACTCCAATTTTTTTTATTCAATTCTGAAAAATACAGCACGGGCCACTCGAAATGATTCCGCGGGCCACGGGTTGGACGACCCTGGTTTAGTCCATTCCCCAAAAATACATCTCACAAAACCATTGCTGGACGCTTCCCAGACTGGCCCGCATGATAACTGGCCGGGCATATTTTGATCTGACTGACAACACGGACATAACCGATTGGCAGTCATATTATTTCAATGTTCAGTAGCACGGCGTTTATAAAGCAAGATTGACTACAAACTTTTAAGCATTTTCTTAGTATCAAGATTGACTACAAACTTTTAAGCATTTTCTTAGTATGAATAATACCAATATACAAGTTCACATCAACCCGACATTTCGGACCAGAACATTAGTCTGTTTTTGGACACGTCAGTGTACATAACGATCGTTTCAATATTATGTTGTTGTTCTTGTTTGTCTTCTTCTCTTTCGTCACGATGAAATCGCTTTTCTCTTCGAATACTGAACCAATTGCTTTGAAATTTTCAGTGGTTAAAGATTGATTTTTTTGCCGGAAGGGTTATTACTTTTACTTATTTCAAAAATTTCTGTGGACTTCAAAAGATTCGTTTTTACCTGTCAGAATAAAAAATAGCGACACCTTGTGACGTGTCCATATATTTGAGCACAGCTCTCTTGTTTATGATCATATGAAAATGAATGGCTAAATTTATTAACCAAGATACACCATGTATTTTGTGAGATGGTACTATTAATATGGATTGAATCCCATAGAGTTGAACAATAAATTGAAAAGTACAGATAGGATAGTACAGACTTCTAAAAATTGAGGTAATTAATCCGCATCGGATATTGCATACTGAAATTCAGAACTTCGTTCATAATCATACATATCTAATGCAACTTCACAACTTTCTCTCACAACATCATCAGGATCCGAGAGATAACTTTTTAAAATATTCAAACAAGTTTCATCAGCAATTGATCCCAAAGCTTCAGCACATTCATGCCGAACCATGCAGTTTTCATTCGAGTCTTTCAAGCTTGCATTGAGTTGCGGTACTACATTTGGAAGTTGCATTTGACCTAAAACATATGCAATTTCATGGCGGAATAATGCACTATCTGTACAATTTAAACCTTCCGCAAGTGCTGTCGCTGCATCTTCGGTGCCAATATTGCGCAGTGAAAACATTGCTCTATATCTTTCAAATAAAGGCAATTTCATATTCACTAATTTATTTTTTATAGAGTTTATATCTTCATCGTTTTTTACCCCTGGTGGAGCAGGGTCTACAGATTCATATGGACTCTCATAGAGTACTTCTTGTCTTCGTTGCTTTAGCCATTTTATCCGGTCAACAGCCAATATGCAAGTTTCAGCGACTTCTGGAGTTGGATCATTTACATATTTCTCAAGAGTTTTCAGTGCGCTTTCATCTCCTATTGCACCCAATGCTTCACCAGCCTCATGCCTTACCATAGCTTCTTGTAATGTATCTTCCAAGACAGATATGAGCACAGGAATTGCTTTTTTATTCTGCATTTGTCCAAGACAATATGCCAGTTCATGTTTCAACAAGGCAGATGAATCTTTGAAACATTCTGCAATATAGTTCACGGCTTGATCTCCACCAATGCCCTTTAGCATAAAAAGAGCTCGAAAACGTTTGGCTAGACTTTTATCGTTATCATTTAGCAAAGCGCCAGCATGTTTCAACTTGTCCTCCATTACATCTATTATATTCTGTGAAATAAGGTAAAGACAGATAAGTAAGAGTGATGAATGAATATAAATTATTTACCAAACACTGCACTGAAGAGGACAGTAGTCAATATCTGGAAATTATTGTATCTATCTAATAAATGGAATTGTCGAGTTTGAAAACGACCTCTACAATAAATGTTTTAATATAATATGCACAAAGTGAGGCATTTATCAGTAATTTGGTGCAATTATTTTTAATAGTTTTCAAATGCGAAAATCTCAAAATTCTATACATCGTTATATTCACACTGAATAAACTTTTAACATTAGGGGAAAGCTCATAGTATTTGGCAAATGACATTGAAAACATACATGCATCCTAAAAATCAGTCCTCTAACCACAATAAAATGGGTAAACCGTAATTACTAAATACGGTAAATCAAGTCAATTGAAAAATTCACGAAAATGTTATCTTCGCTTTACAAATTTTCGATTTACAGCATTAGGGTTTCCACGACGTCCTCCAGATCTGTTTCCTTGTCGTAATCCAAGTTTAAATGACCTACTTTCAGTTTCATTCAATGCAAAAGGATTCCCATCAATGGCATATTCATCGCTCCACACATTAGTCTTCTGCATTGCTTTTTTACTCAATCTATTCTGAGGAATGGGCTGGTCTTCACACAGAATAGGATTGATTGCATGCTTACCACCCTTAGGCATTGGCAATGAAACTTTCTTACCTCTTTTGCTTAAAACTTTTGGATTACGCGAAAGGAAATATTTTACGGATCCGTCAGGTTTTATTTCAACAGGTACACGTTTCAGGGTGTTATTCCCACATTTTGGACAAAACTTTTTTGTCATGAGTTTTGTAATGAAAAAACAAGCATGACACCTTAAGACATAACTCCTGACAGTTTTAATGAGCATTCCATCAACTGAGAAGACATTGAGTCCCATTTTAAGTAAAACATTCTGCATTGCAAAATCAGTCGTAATACAAGCAACTTGCACATTGAGGTCTGAATCTCCTCTTTCATCCTGCTGGATCTTTTGAATATTATCAGGGGTGATCCATCCTTCATCTTCATCAACATCATTTTCCTGCTCCATAGGAGTATTAGAATCATCTGTGGTTTCATTTGGATCACCCTCCTCTGGGTCATTTTGAAACTCTTCTTCGGTGTCTATTTCACTGTCTTGTGATGGAACATAAAATCCAGGTAAATTGCCATTCATATCATTTGATCCTCCAAATTGAATCTCGCCTTTTGCATCATCCCCAATTTCTTGTATCGACTCGGGAGAATTTTGTTCTGTCAGCTCATAAGTCATTGCCAAGACTTTCACATCAACTAACGATAAACTAGGATAATCACCTGTCCTTTTTGATGCATCAACAATTTTTTGTATGGATTCAGGAGTAGGTTGTTTAAAATTGATTTCATATGGAAGAAACGAAAGTCTTTGTCGTGTGGCTTTATCCCTGATTTCTGTAACAACCTCCCTTATGCTGTAAATTTTTTCTCCCATGGATTGAATATTGGCATTTTTTAAAAATCCACCGGAATCTACAACTAGATGTTGTGCTTTTACCATGATTACAGTAAATGTAAATAAACTTGAATATTTCACATATAAACTAAAAAAACAAGGAATGTAATTCAAAAATAGAAGATATATAACTCAATAAAAATTTAAATAGTCTTAGATTACATACAGCCCCATAACAATAGGCCAAGCATATCAATAAAACTTTGACATCATAACAAGACAAAAGAAGTTTGGTCCAAAATATAAAAGAATTGGATTCATAATCAGAGGACCACACCTTTTTAGCTCCCAGATGATCTAGGAATATTTCCAGAAAAAGGCATAATGTCAATGAAACATAGTACAGTGGAACATACAGAAATTTCAATTAAATCAATAACTAGCTATCCACCTGATGCTAACAATGATATATGAAAAGTATCTTTTACATGAATATGCACTACTTTATATATATATGGTTGCATGGAAAATAATCTGGTTTGATCAATTACACGTCAGGAGGAGATTTACAGTGGAATGTGATTTCATAATAACGAAATCATTCATATGTACACTTCTGTGTTCAATAATTAAGTGATTACAGGCTACTGGAATGATTTCGATTGTTTCAATTCTCATGCCAACAACTTTTAATACAGTGAGCAATTTTCTCAGAACACTAGCTAACAGTATTGATCGGAACCAAAATAGTTACCCACAAACTCTGTACTATCAAAATATTTAAAGAATCCAGATTAATAGATTGTAAAGTAAATTCAAGTTCCAAACCGCATTGCTGCATTATGTGAATTTTAGAGATCAGACACTTAATACAAAGATTGTGAAAAGAAAATATGAAAAATAAATGGTTAATCTACATAAAATATTAAAATCTTAACAGCATGAAAATCAAATGACCAACATTAAATTTCTATCAATCATTCACTATTTTTGATTTTCCTCTTTTTCTCTTGTGCCCAAGGTGGTAAAATTGAAATCATCATAACAAAACCCATCATAAGAAGAAACAAAATTATAGGAGTCATAAATCTGTACACTCCCCACAATGTAATGTTCCAGAGTATTCCTGAAATGACAGCAAATAGAGTAGCAATAGGAATTGAGTATGGAGCATGTTTTTCCCAGTCATCTGAAGTCACATTTTTGATTCCACTCAACCAAATAATTAGATACAAACATATTCCAACTGGCATCACTGTTGTAGCAATGCTAGCATAAAAATAGTTCATTTCCACTCTGGGATCGATTTTGAGCACATTGATAATGTCCGAGTAATACAGAGTCAAGAAGCCACCAATCAGCCAACAAATGGTATCAACTTGAAAAGGATTTCCCATAATACTGTAATATCAAAATTATCATAAATACTGCAATTAATGTATTGTGGTGAAATAACATTAGATGGATAACACAATTATATGAATAAGAAGATACAAATATTCAAGGCATGAGTCTAGCTATTAATACGAAAATGTATTTTTGTATGACTAATGTCTGAATGTGTAGAATTTGCATTTCATATCACCATTTATCTTTTTGGTGTTTTGAAACAACTTAGCTAGTTAGATATTCTCAAAAATTATTATCAGCAGCAATGAGTTTATGACATTGACAGTTTTTCCTATTCTTCTACTTAGAAAAACAAATACAGAAATAGAACTAGCTACATCCAGATATCAAACAGGCAACAGGAGAAAGCACATTTCAATGAGTTATATTAGGAAGGTGGGCATCCACATGAACTAGCTACATAGGGAAAGAACTTAAAAGTAAGGTATCAATAATAGACTTAAACGTGGGCATGAACATTGAATTAAAATGTGGATATTACAGTAAGCCACTGTTATAATACCGTTCATGGTTATCACATGCGGACCGCAGCATAAAATAAATACTGACCTATCTAGGCTCTGACATTACTGCATTACAGTATTGATTATTTTACTGTCTGCACATGGACACCTATTTCTGTATTTTCTAATTCTAACTTTTGACAAACGTGTACCGGTACCGGTCAGCCGGTGCCAATGCCGTGGCTGTCACAAATCGGTCTTAGTCTTACTGGTGATAATTTTTTTCATCAATCTCTTATTGAAACGAATAAACACACGCGGAATGCGAAAATTTTATAAACAACTGAACACGTCGTGCTGAACATCAGACCATTGAAGGTGTATTTTCAAAGATCGTGACCTATTCAACTACGGGTCAAAAGTTTTGTCTCCAAACCCATGGCATTGCGTAACACGTGTGCGCAGCGCAACTCATTATCGGCCCGCAAGCGAGGGAACCGCACGAGTCGTTTGCCATAGATCGCCTTTGCAAATAGAGTTTTAGACGATAGAATTTTTACAAATTTTCGCCAAAGCCCACAGAACAGAAGCACGGATTTAGTGATTACATTCCATACTTTTTCGAACATTTGCGGATTTTTCTACAACTAACAAGAAATGAAGAGAATTTCAGTGCTGCCGAAACTCACAATGTTGGCTCACTGTCGTGACAAGAACTAGAAGAAAATGAAGAAAACTATAGCATTCTCGCCGTCTTCGATGGTGAACCAACCATTGGCACGGAAATAGTTAATTTGCCAATTTACTGTTTTGGATGCATGAACTTGGACAGTGGAGGAATCCGTGACAGGTCAGAGATTATGAGAAACCCCGCTGCACCGATGAGGAATTACATTAAAAAAGTTACGGAAATTCGAACTTCCGAACCCACGGTGCGACAAGTGCCTTCCTGCGTAACACGCTGTATATCAGGCTCTCAATTCCCTTTTTCTTTTCCGCGCGGCCAGACAACATAAAGTAGAAAGAAGAAAAAAAATTTATAAGGAAAGAAAGCAGCCCCGCCGGTAGTCACGTGATTTAATAATCTCCTCGTGTAGTATATTGCGCTGCATGTGGAGCGGGTCTCCGTCAGCCACGTTCAACGAGTTTTTGATCTCTCTTGTACGGTCAGGTGAATTCAAACGGCTTATTTACCGAAGTAGAAGGAAGCTTTGGAGCATTGAAGATGAGTGGATACTTCGTTCATGGTGGAACACAATATGCGTGAGTCAAAATTGATTACTTATGACGTGATATAGGTATCGTGAGACTTAAATTATCATGTATCTGTGTATTCTGTCGTCTGTGTATTTGCTTTTGCAGTTTTGACTGAACTATCTGACTACAGTTTCAGACTTTACCTAGGCTACTTCTTTCAATTTTGCGATGGAATTGTAGCATGGTCATTGATAAGCACAGTTCAGTAGTTAGTCTGATATTTCTGAAATTTATGGCATTGTCAGATTGTACCATTCCAGGCATTTCGTCCTGTATTCTGGTATTGCTGTATTGGAATGAATTCAATCATATAAAACTCACTGACTCATGACTGCGCATTGACCATAAAGCCTATTTATAGTGGATATTTCAATTTGATTAATGCTGTAATGCAGTAATGTGGCAAGAGACACTTGTATGCCTAGAAGTTATTATTATGGATTTTAATGGCGTATATTTGTGTAGTTTCTAAATAAATATGCAATGATGTTAAGTAATCTGTCAATCCACCGAAAGTACTATATGTCAAAGGTACTGTACTGTGGATACCAACATACTTTCTGAGCATAAATTTATCTCAAAGTCTTTCTATTTATTTCAATAGTTGCTGGATATTAATAAATGCTTCAATAACTATAAATATCAATCTTTTTCTTGATGTTAAATGTAATGTTAAATATTTTTATTTTCCAGCTACAGTCAACAACCAGCTCAGCAAACTGCAGCTGCTCAGACAGCAAGTTATCAACAGCCAGCTCAGGTAGTTTTCTGTTGACATACTCATACTATATAGTCTGTGAAAACTGCGATGTACATAAACAGGATTTGCTGCTTGTTCCATTGTTGCTAAGCTTCCATAAATGCAGCTTTTTAGTAATTCTAATTTCAATCCAAACTCATTTTGATGCTGTCACAGATATTTTTTTTTGGGAAATTTTTTATCTCAACTTCTTGCTCAACAAGATTGAACGAAATACTGTAGTAGGCTACTATTTTTTCATAAACAGTGTGGAGTACAAATGAATTTGAGATGGCTTGAGACTGCCTACTCAATTTATTGCCTCCATTACCGGATTTAAACCTGAGATTTTTGACCTGAACTTGCATATGCAACATATTTGTTTTCTGTTATCACCAGTGAGCACTGATATTTATGTATTGTCGATTCTGATTGTTTCAGACCACCCAATTACTCAATTTATTGCCTCCATTACCGGATTTAAACCTGAGATTTTTGACCTGAACTTGCATATGCAACATATTTGTTTTCTGTTATCACCAGTGAGCACTGATATTTATGTATTGTCGATTTTGATTGTTTCAGACCACCCAATTTTATCAAAGTACAACATATCCTGCTGCACAGCCACAACAGACAACTAGAACTGCTTTAGCTGCTAACAAACCAGCAGTTGCAACTGGCTCAATCTATGGCACAGGGTATAGTTCACAAACACTTGGTCAAACTGCTGCATATTCTAATCAACACGCTGCTGCCACAACACAGTCATATGCATATGAGTCAAATTCCTACGGTCGTCAAACGTCAGCTGGAGCAAATTCATATGGAAGAACGAATTATGGCACTTCGGCTGCCAATAGTGGATATGGAAGCACCGGATATGGTAAATTGATCGTAGTTACTCTGATTCAATTTAGGTAGTAACCCTTTTGAGCATTTCCTGACTTGAAAATCCACTTGCATCAGCTTTTAAAAATGATCACAATGAACACAGTAATCATTTAAATGAACAGACTTATTGAGTTGATACTGATTTATATGCCTACAGAGAGTATAAGTGTCAGCAGCGGTAATCATTTAGCGGTAAATTACGATCAGGTCTTGGATCACATGCCTGTTATATTTTGCAATGATGTATAATTTAATCTGTCAATCCACAGAATGTACTTTGTGTCAAATGTGCATTGTTGTTGACATAATCATATCTGAGCAAGGTTTTTGGATTTTTTTCACTGACTAGCCTTTAATTATGTACATCAATCGATTTAATTTATTCAGGTGCTGCGAAGGCAGAAGACAAATATACCGGTGGGAATACTTTTACAGGATACAGTAAGCCGGCACCAAGTGCTGCAAGTTATAGTTTGGGATTAAGTAAGATCTATTTTTCAACTTTATTGAGTTAAAAGGATTTGCTTCATTCAGGATTTTCTGAATATTCTTCAATTGGAGGCATTTTCAGTAAAATCATCCACTTTTTTGGTTTGTAATTCGATCATCAGCTATTTCAAGAATTGTTACTAAAATGTTAATTTCAGGATTTAACATTGTGCAACAATGCTATCAAGGTAGCCTTGTTTACGGCATTGAACAATACAATACATTGCCTCTGCACTATTTACAAGGCCCTCTTGTGTGGACATCATTGATACCTAGAATTTTGTGAACTCCAATTGTGGAACACTGGATTGATTGACTAAAATCTATTCACTAATTAATTGGAAAGATCTTTATAGCTAAGTGATTTCGAAATCAGCTAAATAATTATGCTTCTGAACACAAAGTTTCAGAACCAAAACAAAGAGTACATTGGTCTTGTAATAAAATATCAATGTACTTGATGAACTACTAGAAAACTTCTTCATAAAATAATTTGTAACTACTAGTATATACTGAAATGAGATGTGACTTTGTCTTGCAATGATGTTAAGTAATCTGTCAATCCACCGAAAGTACTATATGTCAAAGGTACTGTACTGTGGATACCAACATACTTTCTGAGCATGAATTTCATCCAAACGCATCATCATTCAATTTAGGGAGGCATATATATATATATCTTTGATATATATCCCTTTGATTCATGTAGTTCCAAAAACCATATGATAATTGCCAAGTATTGCATAGCCTTTTATGGCAAAATTGACTAAAAAATTTGGTTTCATATTCAGATCAGGGCTACTCAACTATTTTACCGAAGATCCGCATACAGAACTTCAAAATTATTTGGGTTCCGTTTTTCCAGAAATTATATTTCGACATCCTTAAACATGCAGTTACTCGCCGACTAATGATTATATCAGCTAATCAAGATTGTTTATTGTGGCGTTATAGTTCCTTCCATATATATTCAAATCTATAAAAGTGATTTTATAAAAGGAAGTTTTAAAAGTGGGGCTAATGATCCAAAATAAAAAATTAGGCGCGGCCCGAATTGAATACCCGAAAGGTCCGAATTCGGACCGCGGACTGCCTGTTAAGGAGCCCTGCACCTAGATTATTTGGCATCTCTATGTGTTTACTTACTAACAAAATAACCAAATTTAAAATTCCGACCATCTTCTCTCTTATTTAGCTGGAAACTCCCTCAGCTCTGGAGGCAATAGCTCTTATTTCACACAACCCTCACAACAACCCAGCTACAGTACATCCTATCCTGCTATTTCAACATACAACAAGCCAGAAGAGGCTTCATCTTCACAATACTCGTATGAAAAAGCCCTCTATGTTGCGGCAAACCAATACTACTTGAACAAGAAGAATGAAGCTTCAAACAGAGGGGGAGCAGGAAGGGGTGGTGGTGGTGGCCGAGGGAGGGGTCGTGGCGGCAGAGGAAGCTTTGTAAGTGCATTGTTGTTCCACTTGTTTTCTGTCTGTGTACACACCGAACAAAAAACCTTACTTAAAAAATGTGTATCCCAGAACTTCATTTATGTTCACTAGATCAGAGCAGTTTCCTTGATGATTGTATTTGTATGAACTATCTATTTCTTACATTAATCGGTACTTATCATTCTATTCACGATCATATGCAACTAAATATTTTTTTTAATAAAATAAGTTTTGTTTGAGGATGATAAGAAGTTTAGAGTAGTTTTCTACTAGAAATAGTCATATATTCAAATTTTGGATATTCGAATTTTAAATATTTAAATTTATTTGAAGTTAAGATATTCTGAAATATTTCTCAAAATCAAAAATTTTACTAGATCAACGAACCACATTTTTGACAAGATTTTTTTACCAGCGTTGGACATCCCTGGCAGACACTTTTTGCATGTCGAAAGCATTTATTATCTAAAAGATAAAGTCAATTGTTAATCTTGCACTAATTAAGCAGACCCTTTCTTCAAATTTAGTTAGGGTGTGCATACGGTGCAGACATAAATATGGAGGCGAATTTCTATCATGTTTGGGAATATTTATTTCACATACAGTATTTGCCTCCATTACAAATTCCTGATATTTCATTTGTGTTATATGGCAGTTGTAAGCTTTGTATTCTGTAATACATTTGGTAATGCAATTAATTATTATATGGGAGTCATACTGGCACAGTATGGTATTGTGATAATGCATAATCCAGTTAATTATTTTCAATAAATTCTTTTTGTACAATATGATATTGCTGTATGGTATTTCCCCCACAGTCGGTTATCACCATCTCTTTGTTCAAGATGGTTGTTCGTTTGCTGTGCTGATGCCTTGATTGTGGTTTTATACTCGGAATAAAATACTTATACTTAATTTGTTTAACTCTGGAACAAGTTAAAACTAGCGAAGGTATTTGCATTGTTTGTTTTTCAAACACTCAATACTGAGCGAGTTCTCGTAGTTTCAACATTCAACAATTGATGAATTCATTACAGGGTGGCAGTGGAGGTGGCCAAACTTCGACTGGCCCAAAAATCATCAAAGCTACTGAGGTGAAAGCTTATCTTTATGCTTGGTGTGGACAAAGAAGATTGAAGCCTGAATACACCATAGAACCCTGTGGAATGCCTCCTAGGATGAAATTTGTTTGTACAGTGAGTTGGATTATTTTACAACTTTCTGTACAATGATGAGCCCTATACTCCTGAATGTATTTTCTTGTGTTTTCACCATGTTAGATTTGTCACTGGCCCTATATCTCCCTATTGACTTTGTTAGTGGATCCAGTATTGCCGAAGCAGTTTAAGCCTTTGTCAGGGTGGCAGCAGGTGCATGTTGGCCAACAGGCTTCAAGACACATATATACAAATGCGTCTGTCGATCTGCCGGCTCTGCATGCATTATGTCAGCATTACTGGCAGCCTCTGAGTTTGCTTTTGTGCAATCTGGATCTGCCGCACTGCCAATTTGCGAGCTGCATGGCCAGTGGACTCCATGACATGGTGATGTATGTTGGCACAATCATAAAAATACACAATGCTGAGGAATTTCAGATTCTGAGCACAATCTAAGCTCAAATTTATATAATTTTATGATATAGAGTTCGATTTTATTTTTTAATTGTTGTTATTCGTAAATATTGGCGTAGTTATTTTATAATTTGAGGACTTTCTTTCTTGGAACTAATAGTTTAATCTATTGCAGCTCAAAATCTCTGGACTAGAATATATTGCAAAAGTGACAGCTGCAAGTAAGAAAGATTCACAATCGAAGGCTGCGTGGGATTTCTGTGAACATCTTGTCAAGACTGGTTATATGAAGGAGTCTGAATTACCCCAGAAACCAGTAAGTTGGTTTTCCTAACTGAATATTTTGTATTTATCATATTACACACATATTGATATTTTGTCAATGTATAGATTAAATTTTTCTGATCTAATATCATTATTGTCTCTTTTCACTGTATAAAACTAAATATATGAATCATTTGCAGTGGACTGAACAAATGGTATATCACCTTTTTTTTACCTAAAAATTTGCTTTGCGTTTGCATCTAAAGCACCCAAATAATATAGGTTTTCGTCCAAAAAAAGTTGTGTAATGAACAATAGCATATGCCCTATATATATGGTCTGATGTAACTGTTTGGATGGACTGATTTACAAAGTGATAAATTTGGATGAGGATGGATTTGGATCATATGCTATAAAAAATTTAAATTATCTCAATTATTAACAGCACTTTCCGTAATACAAAAATATGAAATTCAATTCACGTTAGTACTAATCTTCAAGGACTATTTTTTATTTAGGTTGACCCTGCACCAAAGGCACCTAAAGCAGAATCGGAAGCTGTGTCAGAAACACCGGAACAGGTAAAGCTCCTTATTTCTGTATCTATTTATTTTAATGCAGTCTGGCACGCTCCTAAGATTGGCACAGCAGAGATTGGTTTACTCTATTGAGAATCAAAGCGTATTTGACATCGCCCATTTTTAAATTGACTGCTTTTATTGTTTCACTAAACAAAATATGCTATATATTTGGTACCTTGGTCTGGATAGCTGTTTCTCTACCCAGTTTACCCTGGAGTTTGAGCGGTCCATATAATCAATTACATCATTTTTCTTACAAGGTTGAGGAAAACGGGGGATGGACTTTGGAGAACTGCAGACAACGTTTGAATCAATTCACCCAACGTTGGAGAATTCCATCAGAGTTTAAACATGAAACACACGGACCAGAACATGCTAGAAGCTTTGCAGCTGAATTGTCACTGAGAGTTAAATGGCTGGATAAAGGTAAGAGCACTACATATGGGAACATTTAATATTTTCTGGTGGCTGCTTTTTGATCTGTTGCTCTACCTTGAATGTGGTAAAATGATTAAAGAAAAGCAAAAATTGAAATCGATATCGTGTAGCATGTTGCACTGTTTCGTGTGCAGATATGTATAGGGATTTATCTAACATTCCCATTCTAGCGTTTGTAGACTATATTTTTTGTTAATTGAGTAAAGGTCATAAATCATACAACCATAGTATCTGTGAGCTGACACTAAATAATTGGTAAGATATTGACTAACAGTTGCACCCTCACACTTTTTCTCTATTTATGGATACTTAAAATACATGTACTCTCAAAAACCTTCTTTCTTTTCATTAATTTCTTCTTTTTGCCTATTTTGGAAGTCATTATTTTTTTCTGACGATGGACAATAATTACTTTATGCTTTGCGCATAAATGCGTGTCTAATGTGCATAAATTTGGAATATAGTAATTACAATTAGTAATACAAATGAACAAGAAGAAAATTAGTAATATACCGCGAAGACTAAGTAACACTTCTCCCCAAGAACGATAACATTCCCCCTGGGATTAATTACTCTTTGGTTGGGATACATTGTGTTAGGGATTTGCTAGTTCCTAGATGAGATAATAGCCTGTTATCGACTGAAATTCTAAAGTTTAGCAATTTGAATTATTTCAGAATTCACTGCCAAGGAACGGGGAAGTAACAAGAAACAGGCAACAGCTGTCTGTGCACTGGCAATGTTGAGACAATTGTACAAAGAAGGTCTCGTCGAAAAACAAGGTGACCCGATAAAACATCCTCGGAGGGGAGGAGAAAAGAAAGAGGCAACTAAAAGAAAAGCTGATGAGGAGGTTCGTCCTTACTGCATGTGTTTAATTTTACCACAAAGTCAAATGAAAGTTCATGTTAAAGTATTGTCAAGTAATAAATTATTAACAAATTGATTGTCTAAGGAGGTATTTGCTAAGTGATTTTCCAAATTAGCTATATCGCCTTTATCATGTGCATCAGTTTGTTGGATGTCAAATATCAGATATTCTATGTCTATTGCTATGGATCCAGTATGCTTCTTGTAGTTTTATTTTATGCCAATATGCTCTTTGAATCATTCTGTTTGATAGTGTATTTGTTCTTCATAATAAAAATACTCAAAAAACTCACCAGATCTAATTATTATTTACCCTTACAGAAACCACTTGGCAATCAGTGAGTCCCAAGCAAACCCGAATTTTTTTTTGTATTTTTTTATTCTGTTGATGATCATTCAGCAATGTATTTTCAGTCTAATGGATCAGACGACATTGATGAGTTTGGGAACTGGAAGTTAGACGATAGCAGACAACGCTTGCATATATATTGTCAGTCCACAAATCAACCTCTCGATATCAAGTACACACCTGATGATAATACCCCACCCAAGGTAAATAGTTTGGATATCACCGAAGTTTGTGGGAATTGTTGAAAATAGTGACCAGTTTACTACACTGTGAGCGACGTTTCATAACATTCACTGATGCGGAAAGAACTACTATTTACGGAGATATCTCATTTTGGCATCGCACATTACCAGCCTACCTACATCAATATTTGTTTCATTTTAGTCTTTTAGGTTCCAGATTATACACATCCTTACTTTTTGGAGCACTAACGTATGTCTCCTGTCATTATTTTGACTTCGTGACTTCGGAAGGTGCAACATTAAATTCATGATGAAAATGTGTAGCGTAGTATACTGCACCATGTTTTCTATGCATAGGGAATTATCGTACATGTCATGCCTTGCAAATGTGTTTGGAATCAACTCTTGTCTTGTTACCAATCACAGGGTATCATTAACATTTACCTCATTTGTAGTCTTTGTTATACATTACACAAATTAAAACATATTCAATATTTCGTATTCGAAAATATTATTTTTGATTGTTTTCATCCCTTGCTGTGACAAACCTGAAATAATTTCTAAAAAAAGAATAAATTAAATAGTCCTATGTTACTTGAGAATAGCTGGACTCATGACTGTTGCTGTTGGTTTGGCATAGGTTGGTTCCATACTCAACATGGACTGGTTACCATAGAGGCCGTGGTTTGCCATAATTGTGTCGTATTATCGACTTCCCTATCCCTTGGAATAACATGAAAATCCTATACTTCTCAGATGTTCACTGCCTCGGTTTCCATCAATGTGTCTGTCGACAGTGAGGACAAGACATTAGATGCTTCATACACTTGTGCTGGAAAGAAAATAGCAGCCCAACACGTTGCGCAACAAATTATTAAACAGTTATACGATCTGTCACTAGTGGAGCCTAATCTTGGAGTTCAACAATCCAAAAAGAAGAATCCAAGACCTAGAGGCCATGTAAGTATAAAGACAATTTTAACTCTAATATCAGAGTTATCACATTATTGCTATCATATGCTAGGCAGAACAGTAGCATTAATTAAAACAGACGAAAATGTTACACAGAAATTTTGTATTTGAGACTTTTCAGAAGTTGATACTTTCCATTTATCATCTGTAAGTCTGTGACCGAAAGGTTTGACTCCAAGTTCAATGAGTTCGTCTTTACCTAAGTCAGGTAAATGTTCGCCCGCTATTTCGTTTTCTTCGAAAGATAAAATGTACATTTGAAGGCCGAGGTCTTTCAACCAATCCGAAACATCCGTCACTGTCCATTGAACCAACGGCTTCTGTGCGCTAGCAGGCGCTGTTGGCTTCTTTTCTGGACTTTCGTTGTTGTTCACACTTTTGGTTGATCGTGGTTTTGGTGGCGGCTCCCGGACCCACAATTGGCGTTGTTTTAATAGGCGTGGCCTTTTCTGGAGCCTTGGCTGCGGGCGACATAAAATTCACTTTTTGCGTTTGAACTGCCGGTGCCTTGCCAAATAACGGCTTCGTTTCGTTTGTGGTATACTCTTTAGGAGCTGGCTTGTTTTAATCATTTTGTTTAACTCATTTATTCCTGCCTCTGATTGCTAAGCATTAAACTATTAATTTTCACAGGGTGAAGTGTTCGGAGCAATGGATTCTCTTGGATTTGGTGGACCTATGGTAAATTAATTTTTCCTGTTTTATTGGCTAATTCCTAGTAATGTGTTTAACAATTTTTTTATCCTTGTATAGAAAAATTAACACTATCTTTCGTCCCAATTGTAAAAACTTAGTGCTACAGCTTTGAGGGTTTTAGTTATCCAATCTTTAATGCCATGATATTCCATTACTTGTTATTTTTTTTTAGAGAATTTGCTCTCGAGTACTCTACACACAGGAGTAGAGTTGACTCCTATCTGAGCCAAATATGGGGACCACTAAAATACCTAGAGATACTGGCAATCATGAATACTTAGCTGATTTTAGCGAAAACTAGTCGTTAAACTCTAATTTCGTTCACAGTTTGGACCAGGGCCGATGTTTGGACCATTTGGTGGGCCTACACCTCCGATGCAACGTAAAACACCTTATGAAGATGCAATTATTTTTGAAAAACACAAACGAATTTATCCCACGGAATTGGAACTCAGATTGATTGAAGACACTGTTCGAACGATTGAAAAATCATTGAAGCAGGTTTCAGATGAACTGTCCGATGCCATGGCTGCTGACGGAAAGAAACCAATCAAACAAGAAGTAAAGCAGGAACCGGATGAAAAGGAAACCGATGAAAATAGGTATGTGGATTTTATAGTTGAATTGAAGACTGACTATATATATGTTATTTACTGTAATTCTGGGTAAGTATCTTGGTAATACTGTTAGGAATTTTTATGAAGTATGGATTAATTCCTTGCCATAATCCAGTCAAACTAAATAGGAATTGGGATAAATATCATCTCTAATTTTTATGGATACTGGCACTTGGCAGTATAACACTTATTTTAATGTGAATTTCGTTAAATGGAATTCATCTTTGCTTTTCACACAGCGATGTTTAAAATAAATCTAAATATGAAAGGCGACAAAAAGTTTTGTAGCCATGGGTTACCATAATGAGTTTTATAAATTTACAAGGGTTTGTATACAATATTTCCTATAGTATATTCAATGAATGACTATGTCAATTTTTGTTATTTTAATAGAATTTCTATTGCCCTATACCAGGGGTCTCCAACACGCGGGCCTGGCCGCATGAGCTCGCAAAGAATTTTTTAGGCCCACGTCGTGGTTGAGATTTTTCCAGAAAGACTAAAATAGTATGATGTCAACTGAGTTTTATCGTGTTATTTGACATCAAGACTCAAGAGTCCGATACAACAAACTGTTAAAAGTAAAACAAAATACCCCTGTTATATCATTTTACCACCACCAGTCCACCACTCATATTTTATTCTATTGTAATATTTAAATTGTAAATCCAATCATTTCATTTCGCATTTTCATTATGACGATATAAACAAGTTTCGGTCAGATGGTGGATTATGTTGGATTATGAATCATGTGCAGTTAACGCAAAACTAGATTATTATAAACTTATGGATTATTACACAAGGGAAAATACCATGTTTATACTGAAACAATTTGCCACGAAAAGGTATCGAAAATGAAATTTTCACTGATGAAACAGAAATTTTACTTGTTTTACTTAACAAAACTTGTGAAGATTCGATGAAAGCAAGCATTGCCATAAGTGAGATATTTACTAAATCGATGCGTCCTTTCGTTGATGGTAGCTTCATCAAAGAGTGTATGTTGAAGGCTTGTGAAATAAATTATTAACAATGAGAGTTAACAAATCAGTCATTCGCACACGACTAACGGACGAGAGTTTGTACCAACTCAAAATAAGGCCAAGCATCGAGTCTCTCACCGCTACAAAGCGGTGCCAAATAACCAACACAAGTAAACGAATATGTTTCATGTTGCTTGGTGTAAGATTCAAAGCTAATTCCAACAGTATATTCAGATTTACTTTGTTAATTTACAATTCTGTATATAATTCGTTAGTTTGCGGCCCGCGTTGTCGAAAATTTCAAAAAGTTGTCCACAACTTTTGAGTTGGAGACCCCTGCCCTATACCTTGGTTCATCCTGTCCACATCTGTGCAATTATTGAACACCTCGTCAAATTTTCTATTGTTTTATTAAAGTGACAAAGAAGATAAAAGAATGCTTCAAGGTGTTATGAGGGTTGGATCGCTTGCTAAAGGATTGTTGTTAGGTGGAGATGTCTCGGCTCAGCTGGTCCTGCTTAGCGTGAATGTACCGACTACCGGAATGCTAACAAAAATTGGGTCCATATTGAGCAGAGTTCTAGAGGTAAATTGCGAGGTTTATCAGCATGATGCAAACTAGTATTTACTATGTGTTTTGGTTGGAGGCCAGAGTCACATGTTTGACTGTGACAATTAAGTGTCCCTACATGTGCTAAGTGTTCTCCTAGATTAATTGTTGAGTACATATCCACTGGAATGCTTTTTCTGTGCTAGCTGGTCGCTGTATCTCAAACATAGTGTAATTGATAATAATAGTTATAACATTATGTTTCATCCGAGAAATTTGATTTTTCTGAATTAATAAAAGAAACTTATTTAGCAATTATTGACTTGACCTCTTCATATGACAGCATTAGAATTTTTAAAAGAATACCATAAATATGTATCGATTTTTGGTGGTGCACAACATGCCAGTAAATACCCGTTGGAACCATACTTTGTATTAATTGTAATTGATATGCACCAATTTGTTTGCCTTAATATTGGGAAATAATTTTTATCTTTAGGAGGGAGGCCAGAAATATTTGGTTGAAATCCGACTTCAAGAATGTATGATCACTATTATTTCTCCACCTGAGATGAATGATAAAGATGAGCCAGTCAGATGCACTGTCAGGGTTTATCTTACTTCACCCTTGATGCGAACTCTTGGTTTGTACTTTTGTGTTTTATTCTTATATATTACTACCGTAATTGTTAATAGGGATGTCCATTCACATAATATTCCATTTTCTATTTCTCTCTTTTTCAATAATCTGAATTGATTTGAGCCAAATTTCACTTTTGAATTTACTGTAAATTGTATGGTGAAAGCAGTAATCTTCATTTTACTACATTTTTGGAATACAAAAGGTAAATTTTTTGGACATCCCTAATTGATAATCTGATATTAGACGACTGAAGTGATAGGAAAAGCTGGGGAGCATATCTAAGGTATAAATATATTGAGCAGTCCTACATGAGTTGATATTTGTTGGCTTCATTATCTTATTTATCCTGAGAAACGACGAGAAAAAATTACATAGACAAAAAAAAAATTTTCTGGGGCTCAGGATATTTACTTCAAACCCATAGGTGCAAGCTTCTCAACTCCACTTAGACATTAGGGCTTTGTGGCTTAGAGATGTTCAGATATTAGTACAAATGCAAATTTCTTTATGTGAATTCAAACAAATTTGTAATGAATCTGATTTCATTGTGGAATATCAATCTTCAAAAGTTTTTTGTTTTTAACAATGTCTCTGATAAAGAAATTCCTTGCTAAGTTGGGAAACATGATTTCGGTGTATCTACGTTGCTTGCTTCTTTGGCTTTGAAATTCTGGTATCTGGTATACTACGTTTTGGTAGAAAATTTAGTTTTGTATCCAAAGTTAAATAAAATGGTTCAATACCATACTGAGGGAAAGTTCTTCATTAGCTTTGTAGCGAAATTCATTTCTAACGATTGCTCCCCATATTTTCATGTCTGAATCTTGCGAACAACGCACGACACACACACACGTCAATACGTTGCGCGCGTTTGTGTTGCGTGCTGATGTCATAATCATCACTACTCAATAGAACCAACCACTGGGCCTGCGGACATGCTAGACAGGGACAAATGCCTCCAGTCCTTGGCTGAACTTCGACATGCCAAGTGGTTCCAGGTTTGACTTGATTTTTTGTGGGAATGTTTTCGTTGTTGTCCTTCCTTGGAATTTGAAGACTCCTTCTTTTATATTTGGGACAAATCATAATTTTACAAATAAGATTTTATTGAAAATTGACCAACATTCCAATTTTGCTGAACTTTTTAAAAACAACAATTCAAAAATGATTTGTATCGAAATTTGGGCAAATTTGTCTTAATGATTGGCACAATAGCGAATTTGCTGAAATTTTGTTGAAATCTTAGCAGCATTTCCCATTTATTAGAGTTCTTAAAAACAAAAGATTTGAGAATGATATGTATCAAAATTTATGAAAAATATATTTATGTGCTTTGAGGATTCTCATTTATGTATAATATTTTCTGTGGCTTTTACTTTGTATTCGGTACAAAATGTGACTTTGGCTCAATTTGATTGAAAAATGACTTTCCAATTTATTAAAGGTCCTAAATACACCAAATCCGAAATAATTTGAGTTTTTGGGAAAAAATTTGATGTGATTTGATAAATTCATTGCCTAATTGACGAGTATAGGTTTTTATTTGTCAAATGAGTGGAGTATTTTTATCGCTTGTTCCAAATTCTATTGGACAATGTATAAAATTCTTTGAACCAAATCACTTGTTCCATAATGGTTGTTAACTAATTCCTATAATGTTGGAAAAATGTCATTTTTTTTTTGTAATAAGAAAATCAAAATTTTGTACTCAGTGAATCTGTAAACTTGATCGTTATCATACCGAAATGCGATTCCCATCATTAATTAGTTCTTGTAATATAGGCTTGTGCAAAAGGCATTCCATCGTGTGTCATCTTGATTAGAATCTTCAAGGATATGAAGAGAAGAAATTCGACATGGAATCCACTATCCGACTGGGTATGATTAGCCATTTTGAAATTTATTTTTCATAGAAAATTGTACAAGTTCAGTGGTTCAGTCTGGATCTGTATTTGATAACTATACAGAGGTCGCCATTCTATAAAGTTTGGGAGAAAATATCCACCTTTTAAAACTGTTATGATAATTGGTTTGATACCTGTGGCGTGGGTTATTTTTAACAAGTTCACAATGTGCCATCTTTTAGCCATTAGATTTTAGTTCTTTCAAATGTAAGGTTTTGGTAGTTGTTCAGCTGCAAGTCCTACTTGTTTTAGTATATATCGTTAATAATGGAGGCCAGAGTCACATGCCTGACTTTTATAAAATGTCCTGTATGGGCTAAGTGTGCTCCTATATAAAATGTCGAGTACATATCCACTGGAATGCTTTATACCGTGCTAGCTGGTCGCTGTATCTCGAACACTTATGTATTTTGGGTTCCTGAAATTCTTTTGCTTTAGTTTGGTTTCATTGATAACTGTACTCGTTTAGTTAACAGGACTTACTTAAGCTAGGCTGGAGTGTAGAATTTTTCTCTCCAAGTATTTAATTTGATGCCTTATGAATTATTCAACCACTTTCTATTGGTAACCCTGCTGCTACAAGAAATTTGATAAGGATTATTGGAAAATCCGCTGTTTTTTGTGGACTGTTTTGCTATATTCAGTCTTATATATTTATATAGTACTTATATACTTATACTCTTATATTTCAGGCTCTGGAGTTGGTCATTGAGAAAGCCCTCCGCACTTCGTTGTTCGGACAACTGACTGTGGGAGAAGGACTGCGACGTGTACTAAGCTGTTTATCATCTGGAATATTGCTTGCTGGTAATATCTTGTTTTTTCAATTCCCATTAATTTTTTTCAATTTGATCTCATTGCTTCTGTTTGAACTCAGTGTCACCTATATTCGTGAGCAGGGAGGCGAACATAAATGAACGACATGGGGAAAGTCAAATAATTTGATATTAAAATATGTTTTTAATAAAATGTTTATTGAAGCAATTTTCAAAGTGCAGGAATATCAAATAAGTCCTGACTGATTTGTTAGCCAAATAAAATGTGGATTAGAGATTAACTAAAATCCAAATCAATAATATTGAACATGTATTTTAAGATTTAGATTTTTACTTTTTGTATTTAAAATCCAAAATTGGTGACAAAAAGGATCCTGCCCTATCTCTCTTGTCCCATATTTGACTTGTTCGTTGATATGTCTTTTCATTATAAATTTTTCGTGAACTTGTAGAGGTTTATCGTACTTGCATATCTTTTATAGTGATATGCTTGTGCTATCCGCCTCTTACAGAAACCTATTACGGTGACTTTTCTACTAGCCGATGTGTTGTTTGAAGTGTCACATCGGACGATAAAACTCATACAGATATTTTACCTACTTGTTTTAGTTTATAAAGCCTTTTGGAGGTTGAGTAGAAGCATAAACTTTTTTTAATTTGTTACTACAGACAGTGGTGGCCTTTACGACCCGTGTGAAAAGACACCAACAGATGTGATTCAGTCTATGACACTGCAAGAACGAGAAGACGTCACCGAATCTGCTCATGTGAGTTATATTTCTGTTTTTGTTTGGGGGGGGGGGGAGCGGTTTAAATGACTATGACATGGGAATTTTAATAGTGGTGAATGGAGGCCAGAGTCACATAACTGACTACGATAATTGTCTTTTATGTGCTAAGTGTACTCCTATATAAATTGAGTACTTATCCACTGGAATGCTTTTGTTGTGCTATCCGGTCGCAGTATCTCAAACACCATTTCATTCATGATATTTCTGGGAAATTATTGAAGCGTTTATGTATTACATCACTGGTTGGGCATTAGTATAGATATGCTGTACCTGGCAGGATTCCTTTCCAAACCATCAATTTGAAACGCTTAGCCTCCTTGCTTGATATAAACTGATTTGGATTGAAGGCATTAACTTAATAATTGAAGGCATTTTAAATGGTAAGATAATCGCTATTTTGTCATTCAGCATGCCCTGAGAATGCTTGTGTTCCGCCAGACTCATAAGATATTGGGAATTGAACCCTTGCCACAAAGAGTCCGAAGGAGCACAGATGGGGATTCAACTATGGAAACTATTTAAAGAAAGACAATTTCAGCATGTGGAACTTTTACCCTAATATTGTGTTGGGTCCTCCAAGAATGCATTTCCATAAGAACCATAACCATGAAGTTGTGGATTATATTATTGTTTTTACTTCATTTTTTATTTTGTTTGTGCACCTTTGTCCATTTTCTTTATCAGCCATCATGGCAGATTTCATTTTGTTCTAATCTGTGATCTGTAACTATGGTGGAAGATTCAGGCCATTGACCAATCACATGATCTTGTCACACTATAGTCTGTGTCCGATATTTGACTTGTCACTTGCTTGCCATCTAACACATCTGCGGAAATGAATGACTTCTTTTTTGATATAAAAACGGGCATAACTTGAACACTTTGCTGCGCGCTTTCAATTTGTGTGATCATTATGTGGTCCCTGGCTTGTTTCTAATATGCTACACATGGATATTTAGGACTCATTCATTCCTTTCATTCAATGAAAATCTGCTTCACGGGCATTGCGTCGTCATTTAGATTCAAGTTAAACTGGTGTGTGGCCTGTTAGCGAAGAAGAATAGAAGAGCCAATGAGTGTCTTGTGTTGTGATGGTTCTATGGAACGGCCTTGGTGTAGTAGTGCAGGTCTATAGGTTCGGAGTAACTTATGCTGAGTGTCTTGTGTTGTGATGGTTCTATGGAACGGTATTGGTGTAGCAATGCAAGTCTTATGCCTGGTGTTGTGTTGCTGCTGTTGAGTTGGCATGTTTTAGTTGTAGTCTTGCAACTCCTTGAGAGTATGGAACACAGCTGTTTAGTAAAGAAACGACAAGCTTTGTTTGAGCCATATTCAATAGACAGTTGGTAAGTTTAGTGGTTTTAGAGCAGGGGTGTGCACCATTTTATGCCAGGGGGACGTATAACCAACTTCAGGCATCTATCAGGCCACGCAACATATTTAGTTTTTCCATGTACACAACGAATTGAACCATGAGGGATTATTATGTCACAATATAATGTAAATAAGCGTTATGAAAACCTGCAGCATCAAGTACATTCGCAATAACCAGAGCACTGCGGGAAAAGAATGTGGCTATCGCTTATCTTCACGATAATAAAGGGATCGGGCAAAAGATTTAACGTAGCGACAGGAATAAGATAACATTATGTATATTTACTAGGGCTGGGAATTTCACGGAAAACACGTTAACCGAACGTAATAATTTTAGTTTGTTACGTCATAATGGTTGCAAAGCAATTTCGGGTGATCTTATCCCCTGTAACGTAATTTCTGTTGCTATGCGTATTCGATAATTTTGCAAAGAAACAATTGAAAATTTGTTACGCCCGGTATAGCTCAAAATTATTCACGAATGGGGATAGTTTCGTGATCTCTCTGCTGCAAGAGATATGCAGCGTGCTTCGGGCATACGGAAGTATTTTAGTAAAACCCGAATTCGTTATTATTAAATGTCATTTATATGACAATTTTCGACGTCCAAATTTTACTCTGAGATATTATAAAGAAAAACAGCATCAACTGCGCAGTTGTGGGATGACATTGCAATAAAATCGTGAACAATAAATTTCGACCGAAAACTGATTCTGAATTTATCATTGTCAAATTTTTATAATCAGCAATCTTGGTACTTCAATTATTTTCACATTTATTGGGTCCTTACCAATACAGTTAGTGATATTCTTTTGAATTAAATGCCACAGGAGATAAATTTGCGATGACGTAACCATATTTGAAGAAATTGTACATAATAAAGCTGATTTGTACCCGAGATGTCAGTTAACGCAGTGATTCCCAAAGTGGGCGATATCGCCCCCCAGTGGGCGATAACGCTACAGAGGGGGGGCGATTTTTAGAAACCTGTTTTTGTTCGGCGCATCGTGCACTTGATTACTGTACTCTGCGTGTTTTCGTATGTTTGAATCACGTAGGCGATTATCACACGCGAAAGGATTGCTGGACTCGTCTTCGCAGTAAGATACGGTCGTTTCCGTATCCCAGTGGTCGGCAAAATACGGCGGCCGAAGTAAAATAATCAGAAAATGTTTTCTATACTTTACCATTTTGAAATTTTCGGTGCGTATTTTAAGAGTGGTTTTGCGAGTTGTTGCTTGTAAAACGGGGTATTTGTTTCAAACTATCATTCTAAAATCTAATTCATACCATTCAACAATCTGTTTTTTTAAAAGTACCAGTAAAGAATTTTAGCCTAGTCTATCAAAGATATTTCTACACCAAATTTTTGCCTACTGTAAATAAACTGAAACTTCTGGGGAGACAAAGTGATCATTGACTTATTTTACTTATATTTAAATTTCCGGAAAACAACTAAAAACTAACGAATATAAATCAAAAACGCCAAAATGAGGTAATTTTCACGACCACGCCTGAAAATCTGTCTGAGTGAGAAATGTGTCTGAGTGGATGCAAAAGTGGGCATTGTTACGTTTATTTTTTGCATCTTGCTGAATGGCCAATGTCACGAAGTAAACAAGGAAGTCTATGCCCGGGGAAACATCCAAACGGCGGTTTTGGCGATGAATTAATTTTATTTACAATCTACGCTTGAGGAGTAAATTACATTTTTTTATGTAACAGAATTTATCGTGAGGCACGTTCAGACAAAATTTTATTATATCCTTAAAATTATATCAAACAGCTTTTCGTTTAACGAGCCTACAATTCAATTATAATTAGACAATATAGAAAACACGCAGAAAAGTTGATGCTGAGTGCAGGGGTTCAATAGCGCAGTAAATATTAGAATATATTGCAATGCAAAAGGGATTAAATTCATATTCTATTCGAGAGATTCATCACTGCTTAACTGAGTGTATCTTCTTAAAGAATATCTTTATCAAAATTTGACAAACCATGCGATAATTTTGATGTTGGGAAGTATATATATGTGTGCGAACAATTATTTTTGAAAATGAACATTACAAAGAACAAGCTAGAACTAGGATTAATGATGCCCATTTAGAAAATCTTCCAATCTTGGCGTCGTAAAGCTATCAAGCGTGATGCAGCAAAAAGACAGTGTCACATTAAATGTCATTGTAATAATTATTTAAGATGACTGAGTTGAGTTCACGAATTGTCGCGGTTTTTGCCCGCTGTTCCATTTTTAACTTTTAAAAAATATATGCGACCCGCAAAAGATTAGCAACCCTAAATGTAAAATGGGGTGAATTTAGGGAGTTAAATGCTATAAGGCAAGAGTACACGGCGGTTTTTGAGGAGGTAGAACACTAGATTTTTTCATTTCCGACCGCTAATATGATGAGGGGTTTTCAGCTGTGCTACTATTGCTATCAAAACAACGAAAACGCCTTTCCATCAGTAAACAGGGTAATTTAGATATTATAAAAATCTCGCTGAAGAACACCAAGCTTATCCATCTCATTAAAAAATACTATAAACTATGATTTGTCTCGTTATTCGGTCTGTAATATATTCGTTTCAGACTTTACATTTTTTACGAAGTGCCGGGGGGCGATGAACTTGTATAAACTACTCTAGGGGGGGCGATGGTACAAAAAGTTTGGGAACCACTGAGTTAACGGATGATTTAAATTTTAAATCGTAACCGAACTTGGCTTGCACGTAACCGACCAAAATAAAATCCGTAATTGCGGCAAAATCGCTTACGTAATTACGTGATTTTAATAGTTTAACTTACATTGGCACTCGCCGATTTCTCTAGTCATAAAAGTATGGGACCAAGATGACACGTGTTGCAAGCATTGCGGTACATTAAAATTACTCAAATAAGCTGATACTTTGCGAACAAAATGAAACAGATAATTAACTATACCAATCATAAACAACAAAATGAAACCGACAAATTGCCAAGCGAATAAGCAACATTAAAATCGTATTCGGAAATTCCCAAGCAACAGCTTTTGCAAAGGTCGTCGACTCGTCGCGATTACGCGTTGTTAAAAGAGTCCACCCACGGCAAGTACGGAAATTTAAAATGTCTTTCAATTGTGTTCAACGTAACTCGTGGTTGAGTCGACTTGCGACAAAATAAAAGCCATATACTACTCCAAAAATACCACAACAATCTGTGGATATAATATTGTGATTTGAATTGCCCGATAATAGTTACCTAGTTTTGATGAGTATTTTCGCGACCTAACGAATTCGTTATCTCCGTTGGAAGAATCCCAAGATCTATAATATATAGTACAATACTATATATATATATCTATAATATCTTTATCGCCCCGAAATCCCGACGAAACAGTCGTCGGCGTGATTTTTCTGTAGCATAATATCATCAGTCTATGACCGATACGAGCACATTTAAAATGTTTTTCTTTATTAATTTAATCGTCTTCAATTTAACTTGCGGTTGCGTCGACAAAATAAAAGCATCAACACTCTCAAATACCACGACAATCTGCGGGCATAAAATGTGTGGAAAAGTACTCGACTATATATATATATTATATTGTTTTGATCCGTATTTTTGCTATTCTGCAAATTTGAAAAAAATTAGATGGACTTGTAACACTGACATATTGTTAGTAACAATGCGATCATTTTTAAGATAAAAACTTTCGAAAAATTCGTAAATCGGCTGTAAAATCTGACGGAGTGAAATTTATTTTGTTACAATAAAATTTGATTGAATATACTTTATATTTATTATCTTATATATCTTCAAAACCCGGGAAAAAGTCGCGTTGCCAAACTTGTATAATGTTAACACGAAAATTTTCAAACGCCATTCAAAATAGCTTGCTTTATTATTAATTTAATCGTCTTCAATTTAACTTGCGGTTGCGTCGACAAAATAAAAGCATAAACACTCTCAAATACCACGACAATCTGCGGCATAAAATTTGTGGAAAAGTGCTCGACTATATATATATATATTATATTGTTTTGATCCGTATTTTTGCTATTCTGCGAATTTGAAAAAAATTGAGATGTACTTGTAACACTGACATATTGTTACACATCGCGATCATTTTTAAGATAAAAACTTTCGAAAAATTCGTTAATCTGCTGTAAAATCTCACGGAGTAAAATTTATTTTGTTACAATAAAATTTGATTGAATATACTTTATATTTATTATCTTATATATATATCCTCATGACCCGGGAAAAATTTGCGTTGCCAACCTTGTATAATGTTAACACGAAAATTGTCGACGACCATTCAAAATAGGAGAAGATAGGATTTACATATTTATCCAGTGAAGAGGAAAGCCGCTTATTCATATGGCGAACCACGGCCCCTCGTCCGGTTACCATTCCACGTCGGGTATGGGATAAGTTAGTTATTTGTTTCCGGAAGCATGGACTTGATGGTGGAGAAAGCCGTAACCGACCAGCGATTACGTGAACCACCCTCCGGCGGCGAGGAGTCCAGCAATCCTTTCGCACATGAACATCCCCACGTGGGATTCGAACCTGCAAACCCACGCAGAGTAATCAGAGGTGCGGTGGCGAGCGTATTCCCGACGCTTAGCATTATGGATAAAAAGG